TCTGGCAGCACGGAGAAAGCTCGAAGCCCAGGAAAAGGCAAAAGCGCCAGGCGCTGCATAGTCACGGCTACATCATGCCGGGAAAAGGAAGAGGAGCCGACAGGAAAATGGAGCATGGACGCATGCGCTGGTTGTTATACCCTAGATCGCTTCCTCCAATATACATTACCGTGTACACCACCAGATTATGGCAAGCGCTCTATACTTCCCATGGTTTCTTTCTGTGAGATCTTCTTCGTATGTAAGGTATGTAAGACCTCTGAACAGTGGCATGATGTGTAGCCTCATCGGCCTCATGCTACCCAAATTCCAATCTTCTTGTTGCAGTAGATACACTTTACGACCAACACTTCGGCAGATTTTCAGTTTCAACAACACAACAAAGGACACTACCTAGATCATCACATTAACTGTATCGCTCTCGATGTCAAAACTCGCATAGCAGAGCATGCAGTATGTATTCTCGGTGTCTACAATCTGTGACGTCACATTGTACTGTGCCAATTATTCCGCTGAAGCTACATATCGATATGCCGGTTTGCAACTAATAAATGTAATTAGTCTCTCTATTATTCATCGGTGAACAGTTCTCAATGGAGACGCGGACTTACAGCGGACGGAGTTAAGCCTAAGTCAACCGGCATGACATTATCTAGGCGGCTCCCTGATCAACGACATTTATAGAGAGGTGTCCTGGCCTGATTTGTCAAAAATCAATAACTCTAAATAGATCTATTTGTCTACGACTACAAGGATCCTCTTCATCTTTCCTCCAAACAGCGTACTGTCATGTCTTCACCACTGCCCTACAATCGCCAGAACGCGCTTGCCTCAACCATCGCAGCAGACAACGCGTCCAACATAGCTGGCAAGATCGTCTTGACGACTGGCGTAACGCAAGGCGGCCTAGGAGCAACGTTTGTCGAAGAGATCGCAAAGCATAAACCCGCTCTTCTGATCCTCGCTGGTCGCTCGCCATCAAAAGTGCAAGCCACATCCGATAAGATCAAATCCAACCCAGCGAGCGCCAATGTCGAAGTGCGCATCTTAACCCTAGATCTGGCATCGCAAAAGCAAGTCCGCGAAGCCGCGAACGAAGTTCTCGCATATCCGGAATCCCACATCGATGTTGTCGTCAACTCAGCAGGCATAATGAAGGGTCCCTACCGTACAACAGCGGACGGTATCGAGAACCAATTCGGATGCAACCACATCGGTCATTTCCTCTTCACCAATCTCATCATGCCCAAGCTCCTTGCTGCCAAGGCACCCCGAATCGTCAACATATCCAGTGACGGTCATCGCTTCAGCGGTGTACGTTTCGACGATCCGAATTTCCAAGATGGCAAAGTGTACGATCAGTGGGAAACATATGGCCAGAGTAAGACGGCAAACATCTTATTCTCCTATGCGTTGGCAAGGAAACTGGGTCCGAAGGGTCTCAGAGCGTACAGTTTGCATCCAGGAGTGACGATTGGAACGTCTCTTGCTGAAAAATTCGACGATGAAGACATGAAGAGTGTCGGTAAGTCGTCATTGTTGAGAGTTGACACGATCGCTGTTCTGACAAGCATACAGTGGCCAAGGACAAACAGATCGGCTGGGCTCGTGAGTTTGACCTGAAGTCGCTCGATGAGTGTGCGGCTACCCATGTTGTCGCCGCCTTCGATACAAGATTGGACGACTACAACGGCGCGTATCTCGACAACGCCAACGTGGCGCCGCAAGAAGTGCAGCCGACTGCGACGAACCCGGAAGACCCAGAGAGGCTGTGGAAACTGAGCGAGAGGCTTGTAGGAGAGGAATTCGTATATTGAACAAGAGGCTGCTCTATAGATAGATCACACTATCTGGGTATCGTAAAGCATACCAACGCCATTGCAATGCTATATTCAGTCGTTCTCTGTCCTCATGCCCACTTCAAGCACCTGGTTGCTTCGTGCGCGTCTTTGCACTCCAATCCACATACCCGCGCTCCACATTTGCGACACTTGATTTGTCCCCAGTATCCGCAATTGTCGCAAAACTGTCTCTGTGGTGGACCGCCAGCGGGAGGAGGTGCGGCGTGGCTTGCAGCGTAGGAAAGTGGTGGAGCGGCAAGTAGAGCCTCGAGCTCGGTGGGGTTCAACGGCGCGGGTATGGAATCGTCGATCGAGAGCAGCGCGTCGTCTGCATTTGCGTCCTCGAGACGCGACGGAGTCTGCGCAACTGTTGGAGGCCCTGGCGTTGCTTCTACTGGCGTCGCAGGCACAGAAGCATATGTGCTTTGCCTTCGCAAGGCTTGCGCTGCTCCCCTTCCCCCTGTGGGCTGAGAAACGCTTCCCCTGGACGTAGTTGTCGTTTGTCCTAATTGCGCCTCTTCATCGTCGAGCCAATGCTTGATCTGCCGCTGGTATTGTATGATCCTCCTTGCATTTTGTGTCTTTGGCACGCCCGGCTTCCCGGGGATCGTGATGAGCTGCTTGGGGTCGTTGTCGCGTTCTAGTTCGGCTATTCGTCGAGCTATGGCTGTCTGTTGTCGGGCAGAGAGCTCGTTTTCCGCCCGTTGACCGCCTGGTGTTGCTGCGGCGGCGCGCTTCTTGTTCTTGGGGTTGATGGCGACTTTTGAGGGGTCGTAGCCTGTGTCGACGACATACGTCCATCCAGGCGCGACGGTCGCCGTGGAGTTCGGAAGTACTTCGACGTGTGGCATGGTGGAGTGTGGAGTGCAGGAGGTGATGATGCGGAGAGTCCGGAGGTGTTGAAATTATGGATCACATGCCGACGCGTCGCAAAGTCCAGATGCCGCGTACCTGCATGATCGATGCGGGGTACGTACACCATCTGGATTACTTCCGATCTTGTCATCATCTTGTCGGATGTTAGCCGTGATCATCAAAAGGCTATTGCATCCTCGGTAGATCTTTAATATGTATAGTCCCGGAAAGCCGTAGATCGAACTTGTGACCACTTGCCCGAACAACCCCAGCTACCTAGGTCACTGCACATCGCCCATACAACCAAGCATGGCGCCTGAAAGGAAACCGCCAATTGTGCTTCCACCCACAACCCCACCAAGCGATGTTTCCAAGTCCGCGGCCTTCATCTTCATCCACGGTCTCGGTGACGAAGCAGAAGGACTGGAAAGCGTTGCTCGCCAATTCCAATCCGCGAACAAATTGCCACACATGTCTTGGACTATACCCAATGCTTTAGAGAACCATGACCTAGCTACTACAGCCTGGTATCTGCCCACACGCCTCTCTCCTTATCCACCATCGCGACCTGAGCTCGAAGACGACGAAGATGAAGAGGGGATGATGACTACCGTGTCCTACATCACAACACTGATCGATGATCTGGTCGATCAGGGCATTCCAACGGAGAGGATCGTCTTGGGAGGGTTCTCACAGGGCCATGCTATGGCACTTTTGACTGGTTTGGTGTCGAAGTATGCCGGGAAGTTGGGCGCGCTGGTCGGACTGTCTGGATACCTTCCCCTGGCAGATCGAATACCGAAGCTGAGAGAACAAGCTGGGTTACCAGAAGAGGTGGGGGACAACGGTGAGATATTTCTGGCAAGAGGAACAGGGGATAGATTGGTACCGAAGCGGTTACATCGTATGTGTTATGAGGCATTATTTGGATTTGGTATCGAGAAGGACAGGGTGACAATTAAAGAATATGAGGGCATGGGGCATATCATGGCCGGAGCTGAGCTGCGGGACTTATGTGCTTTCTTGGAGAGGGTAGTACCGGAGATGGACTAAGATGGAACACGCGTGAAGTTTGATGACCGCGTTCCGTTTCCGCTACTTCATTATGAGTCCTGCTCCATATCGAAATTGAAGTTACCAAAATACACGCAGAGTGCCTGCGCAAAGTCAGTTTGGAGGTTAGCATCAATATCTTCTGTGTCTTACCTTGCTAGCACCCATCATAGTATAGTGAGCAACTTCCAGCTTTTTCCCATCTTGCCCGTATCTCGCAATCTGATTAAGATCCGACGTTCTCGGCAAATACAGAACAACCTCTTTGCTGATACTCGTAAAGCTCTTGTAAAGCTTTTCGAGGTTATACGGCTCCATCTTACTGAGGTCGAAGACGTCTTCAGCACCATACTCAGTTCCTAAACACATCAGCTTAATTCGAATGATGGTGTGGAAAAGAGACAAACCTCCCCATGGCGGACTAGCGAACACAACGACATTGCTTTGACCCGAGAACCTGCTCATGGCATCAAAGCAATCTGCGTTGAGCCAAAAGATCTTATTGCTCACACCATATATTTCGGCATTGTGCTTTGCGCACTTCAACGTTTTGGCATCTTTCTCGATAGCAAAGACGCGTTCCCAGCGTCCCGAGCGCGCGAGTGCTATGGCATTACCACCAACACCAGCAAATGCGTCGACGATGACGGTTTTGTCTTTGGGCGCTGACTCAGATATGTGAGCTGCGATCTTGTTCGCGATGGGTTCTGGTGTCACGCCGAACCAGGCGTCTTCTGTCATCCATATGCCTTGGTCATACTTTTCCCATATCTTGAACCGCTGATGCCAATATCTGATATTGTTAGAATTCAAGAATCTCTGAGAGTGGTAGAAATGGGCTGTACTTCTTCAAATGTTCGGGGAACTGTTCGACACGCGACCATTGGTCTACGCCTTTCTCACCCGCCGTCTCACTCATATCCCCAGCAAGCGTGATGCACTAAGTTGTGAGAATAGCCTGATTTGAGAAGCCACAGGTAATGGGTTTTGACTTCAGAAGATGTGTGGATGATGAAGTAACCGAGCAGATACTGTGGAAGAGTGAGAGCAATCCTGATACGCCTTACCTTATTAGGAATAGTTCCGACCGACGCGACTGCCTATACGTGGCGGTACATGTAATTTGGTCACTGCAGGTGATAATGTTCCGAATTTTGCATCCTGAACTACAACTACCTCCGATGCAACTTTAACCACACATTGCCATCCTCACTGCACCTGCCCCAGCTAGCGCGCCGCAGATCCCGAGCTATGGCCACCTTCCAAAACCTCCAAGTCACCAACAACGACACCTCGGCCAACACGACTTCTCTGTCGTCATCACCATACGACAACTTTTTGAAGGAACCATCAGAATCACCGCCTCTCATCATGTCCATGTTCGGAGCGTTGAACCGCTTCATATCGCGACTAGACGCCGCGCCCCTCAACGAAGAGCAGCAGTCCGCTACGAATGGCGCATACGGCTTCCAGGTGCTGAGGAACGCTAACCTAGATGTCCCTCTGGAGCCGTGGTTCGATTTCATCATTGGAATCAATGGAAGAACTATTGTACGTATTTTCCATTCGGTTAAAAGACATTAGCAAAGGGATGCAAGAGCGGGAGAAGGTAGACGATGGCGAAGTGGGGGTCAGCTCCCAGACAAGATGAAAGGATTGGAAACAAGAACATCGTATTGATTTTTTACTAACTCTGAGAACAGGATAATCCAGATCCAAGTCTCTTTGCGACAGAGGTACGGAACAGTGCTGGTGCGACCATCAGCCTAGGTGTATTCAGCGCAAAGGTAGGTTCCAACTACTCATTCTTATACCACAATACATTCGAGACATCATGAGTCATCGTTCCATTTCATATTACACGTTTGCAAGGAAGTACAACCACAGAAGTCCGGGAGAACGAACGTCACAATTAACTTCAGTCAATTGAACTATCTATACACGTCTGACACACTGTAGGGCCAAAAGATCCGAGAAGTTTATCTGCAAATCCCAGCCGATCAGCCAACTCTAGGGATCTCCTTGCAGTGGTCTCCATTGGCCATCGCGGAGGATGTCTGGCATATCCTAGACGTGGCTCCCAATTCCCCCGCTGATGCCGCAGGGTTGCTACCCTATGGTGACTACGTCATCGGCAGCCCCGAAGGGCTTGTGCGCGGCGAGTCTGGCTTGGGTGAACTTGTGGAAGACTTCCTAAACAGGCCATTGAGGCTGTACGTGTATAACCACGAATACAACGTGACTCGTCCCGTTACCATCACGCCGACGCGCAATTGGGGTGGTGAGGGAGCCTTAGGGTGTGTGTTGGGTTTCGGGGCTTTGCATCGAATTCCAGCGGGTTTGGACGAGCCGCCGCCAGCGCCTGGCGAGACCTTCTTCTCCACAGGCGATGCTAGCGGGGCCACGTCGTTTGATGAGAAACGCCCTTTGACTGGTTCTGTTGATTTCCCCGCTGCGCCAACGCAGGGTGCACCGACAGAGTTGTTCGTGCCAGCCAACATGGCGCTACCGGCAAAGTCACCACCACCTCAGGGCACGGCGCCGCCGCCAAAGAGGAAGGGCAGAGCACATCATGTCGCTAGCCCTGCGGGTGGTGGTGGCGGTGGCTTGGACGACTACTTCAAGGAGGGAGAGCAGAAGAGTCTGGAGCAAGACTATGCGCCCAAGAAAGGCTCTGGGGTACCACCACCTCCCAAGGCTGGGGGTCCGCCTAGAGGCCCGCCGAAGAGTGGGAGTGCGAGCAGGACAGGCACTCCAGTGCAAGGTGACGGCAATGCAGATAGTGCAGCAGACTCAGAAGCATAAACTTGGCTTGAAGTTAGCAAATGTCATCTTAGGAACAATGAATGACAACATACCTTTGAGAACACACGTCTCTTTACTCAATCCTCAGCCTCGAAGTCTAGCTCTTCCCTGAACCGACTCAGCCTGCGCTGCTTCTTCTCCTCTACACTCTCGTTGCTGGCATTGCTTCCTTGAGTCATGTAGGAGTCGACTCTGGTCTGTACTTCGGGTCGCTTGACCGCTCCACTCACACCGCCTTCTTTGCGCCCGCTGATCCTCTCGAAGGAAGACACTTGCGGTGAGGTGGGCGATCCATCTGGTGATGTTTCCGGAGAGGAAGATGGAGAGAGCGAGGTTTTGATTTTGGTCGTCAATGTACGGAAGATGGGCATGTTGGGCGGTTGCTGTAAGTATTGGTCGTAGTGTTTCGGTTGCGATTGTCGTTGATTGGGGTTTGGTGTCAGGTGGTTGGTAGATGGTAGTAGTATGCGGACCCGAGTATTTGCATGTATCGAATTGAACAAGTAACTGGTGTTATTTGCAATGCGATAGGCAAAAAAGAAGCAAAAGGTATGTGTCGACAAACGGTAATATCCCAACGAGAGGAGCACCAACAACGCGAGGCACGCGACCACTAAATACCCTTTCCCCCACCACACACACACCTCTACCCGACGCATAACAGTCATCCCAAAGCAGCCTACAGCACCCCAGCATACCACGTCAGGGGCCGGGCGCCACGCAGGGCTATACCCAATCCGCGCCGCTCCCACAGCCGCAGCAACCCAACTGTCAATAAACAGGCGCAGTAGTTTCAAACCGCGGGTTCCATGCAAACCACAAAACGAGTGTGCGTCTAGACCGGCATGCTATGGACTTTGTCGATTAATGTGGGTACTCGGGTTGACGATGCAAGGCCAGACCCTGCGCTAGCCATCGCCGATCCCACATTAACCTCGTTCCTGAGCTTGCAAGGAGATCACATGGCTGCAAGGTCATACCCGCAGCGCAGGGCGATCGCATTTGTTCTGCGCGATCATGGCAAAGAGGCATGGACTACTTTTCTTCCATAATTTCCTTGATTGTTGAGACCAAGCTTTTCCCGTTCAACGCTGATCGCACACGTTGCCTAGGTGTATGCCCAGCGCCGATGCGTCGCCGGAAGCAGTTGGCGTTTTAGACTCACCGTCGCAGGATACGCTTTGTCGATGCGGTCAAGTAGAGCGATTGGCTGCACGGCGGGGTAAAAGGAGAAGGGCTTGGCCTTTTTTCCGCTGGCGAAGACGCACTACACCGCCATGTGTGCTTTGCCGGCTTTAAGCTTTGGGGTTGCTGTGATTGGAGCACGTTGGCAGTAAAGGCGTTGAGTTGACAGCAGGAAACATTGTCGAGGCAGTCGTCCGCATGACTGCACACTCAATCTCCCAAAAGAGCGTCACGAGTCCAGCACCCGGCCAACCTTCTGCCCTCCTTGCACCAACCCTTTGGATCGCCGCACATCGGGTCTAACGAGAGAATCGATGATGGGGGATATCGAAGGCGCTCAGCGCAGGAATACAGAACAAAACATTCCCGGCCGTCCTTACAAGTCGGCCATTGCTCCGCTCCGCGGCACCCCTTTGCATCGCGACGACGGCGCCACGTCCGTTGCTTCCCGAGGCCGACGCTTTCATTCACACACAGTTATCCACATCGCTCTTGTCCCTGCAGCGACAATGGCCAAAATAGACATATACCGTTCTGCGCCAGATGGAACACCTCCCGCTTTCAAACGTTGAGGTGGCTCGTAATCTCCACCCTCGTGTTCTTCGTAATCCAGGATTCTGGACTTCTAGACCGCTCAGAGCTTGAATCATGTGGGAAGCAGTCGTTCCGAGTAGTGTTGCGTCCGGCAATGACGGGAGGCTCCACCCTTTCGAGCGGCTGACACCTGACGTACGACATCCACCCGGGCGAACATGAACCATGGTTCCTTCACCGCATTATTACACTGCCGAAGTGGTTCCAAATCGGGCTCACGTAAATCCCTGAGCAAGCCCTGTTGACGCTGACTGAGCACTACGTCAACATGGACGTGGAAACAATTGCGCAATAGGCTCTGCGCAAGTCTGCTAGTGCAACAGCGGACTATGGTCGTGGAAACATAGAGTAGTGAAACGATAGGGGTGTAGGTACACCCAAGTATTGTATTCGCAGGCGAGTCTATCTCTGCGATCTCGTTGTGAGGGAAGGAGGCCCGGTCGAGTCCCTCGTAACATCCAAATCAAAACTCCGACTTGCTTTTCGAGCAGTCTTTTCCGAACAAGCCACCCAAAACAGACCATGTGAACGCCCATGTGGCTCGTGGAGCTAGCAATGATTGGCAGCAAGCGGAACCAGGCACGAGGCCAAGGGAAAGTATGGGGTACGCAAAAACAAACGCCAGATTATGATGTAATACCCAAAACGCCATAGTGAACCTTGCTTCATCTTATATCCAGCTGGAAGGGTTTGAACTTGGCTCCAATAGTGCTGCACCGCGGACACGTCGGCGCACGACCGCGGTTGTGCTCACTGACAAGTACATCTACACACTCTTGACACAGACCGCAAATGCATTCTGAGCATGCATAGCTGTCGCGCAATATCGACAGTTTCCGACATGCAGCGCAGTAGATCTGGACAGGGAAAAGAGAGCTAGGAGATGAATCGGAGAGACCTTGGGAATGCATGTGGAAGTTTTGGCCGGACATGGCTGATTCAATGGAAGACTCGACGGAAGGGAAAGGCTGAAGGTCCGACATATCCGGAGGTGGAGGCGTCAGAGCGTTATTCAAAGGTGATGCCGTGTATGACTGAAGTTGTGAAGCAAAGTTGAAGGGAGGTAGAGAGGTTCTGTTGTTCATCATGTGAGGGGATTGGTTTGGCGACTGTGGCACCTGTTCATGTTAGATAGAATAGCGTAGCAGAGTGTGACACCAACCGGCGTGAGATCTCGGCTATCCTCTTCTGTGGCTGAAGCAGCAGCATCAATCAAGTCTTCCCACCGTTTACCCATAATGGCCGCAGCGGTTGCCGGCTCAGCCGAGTATGCTTTCCTGTCGTAGCTCAGCCTGCGCGAGTAGTCCTTGGACTTCTGCCGCTCGTGTTTGCCCTTACGAGCATTCTGTCCTACAGATGACTTCCGGGGTCTGTTCGGTTTGAGAGAGTGAGCGCCAGGAGGGAGAGTGGAGGAACGCCCGGGAGGCGATCGTGCGAGGGAGGAGGGGAGCAGCTCTTGCTGTATGGAAGTAGATGTGTAGTAAGGTTCTTCGGCATTGATGTGTTGTTCTATGGTGGTCGGAGCGAATCGTGCGCGAGGCCTGTAGTTCTTTGAATCGGGATCGGATGCTGCGTCCTGTTCACAGCAGTTGTTAGCCTGGTCTTGTGCGGGGAAGGTGCAACGCGGGTCCATACCGGATCTGAGTCCCAGTCGTACTCGGCACGATGGTTGTGTAACGAGGCCAGGGCAGCCGCAGCAGTCGCGGCGGGTAAGAGTGACGGCCGGCGCATTTCGTCCGATGTGCGAAGATGATTCGTCCCGAAGTCGGTCTCGAAGAAGGAGTTGTGTTCGCTTCCGCCATAGTCGTACGTCTGCTGGGGCGGTGCTGAGGTCGTCGCAGGTGGAGGTGGGGGTCTTTCTTGCGGTGGTGTGTTGACCATAAGCATGAAGCTCTCCTGCAAGCGGAAACAGTCAGCAGCGTATTCGGCCAGCGCTGGCCGTGGACAAGCCTACCTCAGTCGCCGGCAACTTGGAGATGTAGTGCTCAGGATGGGCGCGGCGGATGTGCTCCTGCATGGACCGGAAACGCTTCTCCTACGCATGTGTTAGTCTGCACCCCAGAGCTCTGGAGCTTTGGAGCTTGCTGTAACGTGAAGCAACAGCGGGAGAGACTTACCCCGGTGCAGCGCTTGCGACAGGCCGAGCTGTCGTGGTTTCGCAGCGGGCATACTACGACATTGTTCTCGTCGCTGACGGAGAAGGAGCTCGTCAGCGGTGCTGCGCGCGACGGAGGCATGGCTGCGAGCATCAATGGCAGGAGCTTCGCGACGAAGCAATGGCACGTGGAAAGCGAGGCGCTGGGACGGGGAAGCTCAGTCCGAGCTTGCGCAGTTGAGGGGGGAGGCTACAGTGACGGCAGGAGCGGGTGTGGTGACTACGGCGGGTGGAAGAAGCTCTGAGCTGAAGTTGCTGCTACTGCGGATAGACGTAACTGGATGCGGGGCAGCTGCGAACGGCGGCGGGGCTTCGAGAGAAAGTGATCAAGTAGAGGCTGTGTTCAGGAATCACGATTGACCATGTAGAAGAAGAAGCAATGGTACTGCACCGCTGCCGTGAGGGTAGAGCTGTATCGCCACGACAAGCTCGAGCGGAGGAGCAATCAGACGGCTGCCCTGGAGCTGAGGCGAAGAAGCTGATAGCTTGGAGAGCTTCGTGCTGCCCAATGACCTACCGCTTGAATGGGGATTTGCGCGCTCCAATCAGAGATGGCTGGGACCAAGACGACTCATAATCAGCTAGACGGCGCAGAAGCCTCCTCACAGCTCAAGTCCCGTGCATGCAAAGAATTTTGACCAATGCGATCTACTGCTCGGACTCTTCACCAGGACATCGGCTGCGGCGCCATGAAGATTTTTGCTCCTCAGATGCCGAGCTAAAGCCAGTTTCGGCCGGCGGCAGGTCCAGGAAGGCTGCACTTGGTTGCAGGGAGCTGCATCTACCACATTTCGGCAACAGACTTGGGGTGAGGTGGAAGGGTAGTGGGAAACGTCAGAGAAGAGAGGGACGGAGAGTGAAGAAGACGCACGAGAAGACGAGCTTCTGACGCGCCGGGGTGGAAATTGTTGAGTGACAGCAGCAGCGTGTTGCTACCTATGGCTTTCTAAACTCGTCACATGCACCTCGTCTGCACCTGCTGTTTCTCGTCCACGCTCGTCTGCGACTACCCTCTCGCGTCAACCTTCCAGCACAATTGCTTCTGCTGAGCGTTCCAAGGCGATGGCGCAAGCCCGCAATCATCATTGACATGGGCATCACAGACTGACACGGCAGCGCGTAGCCTGTCGCCTCGCCTCCCTTTCTTCATGTCTTACGTTGCCGTTACCCCGTCGTGCGCGTGGCCGACATTGTCTTGCACTTGTTCTTCGCTAGTATGGCTCTCTCCGTCGAGTCGCTGAATGGAGACACTTCTTTTCTCCTTACCTTTGACCCACCCGCTGCCCCACTATCGTCGCCGGGATTGTTCCCAGGATCGTTCACGATTCTGGTTGACCGTAAGTCTCTGAAGATCGCGCTTGATACCGCTGGAGGCCGACTTGTAGATGGGTGCTAATGTTTCCTGACCAGCCTGGCTTTCAGGGCCCTCCATCATCCTAAACTCCGTCTTCTCGCATTCTGTACAGAGAGCGAAACCATCCGTCGCGAGCCTGAGAGACCTTGACCGCGAACCCGACCTCGTGCTTATATCCCAAGACAAGCCAGACCACTGCCATGAAGCTACCTTGCGCCAACTCCCACCAGACTGCGAAGCAACTATTTTAGCCATACCGTCTGCGGCCAAGAAGATTCGCTCATGGAAACACTTTCGTCCCAGCCTTGTGCACGCTCTGCCGAAGTACGTCGAGGGAGATGGCCAGTCCATACACCGTATAGTATTACCGCCGCCGTCTCCCCGAGGGACATGTGGTGAGGTGACGGTGACTTGGATTCCAGCCAAGCGGGACCTTTCCAAGGTACATCACGCGATCGGGATAACATATCGGCCTCCTTGCACAGTACTCTCGTCGCTAAGCCCAATGCACTACATCAACCTGCCTATGAGTCCGCCCCCCTCTCCAGGATCGCCAATGACAATCGCCTCATCGCCCCGTACGTTGGTGCCGTCACCAAACAACGATCGAGAGAAGACCTTGTCTGTCATTTACTCACCTCACGGTGTTTCGTACGACGTGATTCGTCCCTACGCAAGCTCCTACCTTGTATCGGAATCCGCGCTTCCCCTCACAGCGCTTCTACATTCTTTTGACTGCGTTGAGAACCCTTGGTGGCTTGGAGGTAACATATCAGCTGGCAGTCCCGGTGGCACAGAGATCGCCAAGAGTCTGTATGCCAAAGCCTGGATATCTGCCCATGATGCAGACAAGGACAATCGGGGCTGGGCCGTCAAGTTGACCCAGATTGCACAGCACGCGGTTGACGAAGTGAAGAAGATGGTGGAAGAGGGTGTCATCAGGAAGACGCTGCCAAATACCGAAGTCTGTTCGCTGAGGGCCGGCGACAAGCATCGGATTGCTGTGGGATGAAGACAGCGCGGTTACTGCCTATCTACCAAGTCCTCCCAGCCATACACCGACTGCGCGATAAGGGTGTTTTGAGATTTGGCAGTCTCCATGTCGTCTCAGGTGCGACAAGGACTTTGAACTCGCCATTACTGGAGTCGCATGCTCAAGCATGGGTATATATGTTGGCGTGCAGGGCACATAAAGGCAAGCCAGAGATGGCTAGCGTGAAGAGCGCGGATCTTCAATGTTGGCCCCGAGTGCGCACTGCTCAACAGAGATGCACTGTCGAGTGTGAGGATGTTCCAGACTGGTCAGATGTGTCTACGCCTGGACATTGCGGGGAGGACATGTATTTGATGGAGCACTGGACCCTTACTTGGTCGCCCAGGTGTTGCGCATTCTGTGATGGGCGGACGAAAACAGGGCTGGGTTAGCCAGGAGATTGGGAGTGGAGCTGGAGCTAAATAGAGCCGAAGACAGACGTGCGGCGCAGGGCAAGGCCGGCTCGCCTCCTCTGTTGTCCGGTGCTCGGGGCGACAACGTGGGCTGCATGGATGGGGACTGCATAGCAATAGCAATAGCAAGGTGCAGCTTGGTGTAGAAAATAACCTTCAGTTTGGCACGCCATGGTTAAGAATAGGGTGATTGCGAGCCACAGCATGACGCCGCACCCGGGCTGCTGGGACTATTGGTGTGGCTGAGGGATGCATGCCGCCTGTTCTTAATCCAGACGCGCAATCTCCCTCTACGGGCGCGCGCAACGCAGACAACATGTCCAAGTATCGCAGCGATGGGGCCTTTGGGGCGTGAAAAGCAGCGCAATGCAGTGGTGAATGGGGCCCAGCATGTCCGACTGCATTGAAACTGCCGTGATGCAGCAGGAGCCGGGCCCGTGGTCATGTTGCTGGTGGCTTCGCAGCGCGCAATAAGGCACTGTCCACCTGCCAAGGCTAGCGCAAGACGGAAGTCGGATCGCGCCCGGCGAGCAAAGGGCTGAGCGAAGGGCCAACTATCGAGCATCACAGCTCGACTCGACTCCTGGCCGCCGACACACCCACGCCCATTCTTGCGCCCACCGTTTTTCTTATCACGACCCCCATTGCTCCAGCGCCTGCCGCCCCGCCGCTGCCTCCGCCCAGTGCTGCTCTGCTGCTCTGCTCTGCTCCGCTCTGGTACCTAGTCTCTGCCGGCGCTGCACTACGCAATCCCCCGGACGACGCCCAACCCGACCTTCACCAGCCACACGTCGCACACACACACTGGCTTCTCACGCTCCGCCGACCCCTCCTCCGCAGCGCTCGGGAAAGGCTGCCTCTTTGATGAGCGTAACCATCCATGAGTCGCAGATGATGCCCTCGTATGGCGCCGAAGCAACCGACCGCTCTTCCTTTGCACATGCTCAAACATCACCGCCTCCCCCCGCGCGCTCGCCCTCGGACCGCTCGCCCCCCAATGGCACCGCTGCCGCGATGAACGGGAAGATGGCCAATGGAATGCAGCCCATGGCAAACGGCCGCCCACCCAGGCCCGCGAGCATCGACAAGCGCCTGTCCCAGGACGACGCACGTCATGCCCGGAGCAGAGGAGACTACATGGACGCCGACAGCTCCAACACCAAGTCGCTCGACACGCAGAGGCAGTCGAGCGAGCGCCCGAGCAGAGACGACGGCTACTTCGCCTCGATACACAGCAGCAAGACCAAGGACCGCCTCTGTGGCAGCACCACGCACGTCGAGCTCGGCCAGATCGATGCTCAGGACGGCACCAAAGAAGCAAGCAGGGACTTCTATGTTCCGCACGTCGGCTCCGTCTCCCATCCTCCCACCTCGCCGTCGCCGCAGCCCCAACCCGACGAGGGCACGGCCAGTCTGCAGGTACCGAGCCAAGCGCATCGCGTCTCCTCCCCGCCTGCCTTCAACCACAACAACCCCGGCCCCTCTCAACAACCTCATCGTCTGCAGCAACGTCATACCCTCGAGGTCCCCAAGCTGCAAACATCGCGCGCCCGCGAACCCCAGAACAACACCGACGACGTCATCAGCGCTAGTGGACGCTTCTCGCCTTCCACACCGCACAAACGGAGAGGCTCCATGTCGCTTGTGCGTCGGACCACACGCTCCGTCAACTCCGACATGCATCTCGACGAGGTGCCCCAGGACGATGAGGCCGCGCGCTGGGCTGAGCACATCCGCCAGAAGCGAGCAAGCAAGCGGAAGCGCAAGGAGGACGAAGACGAAGACCGCGTCGTGGTAGGCACCAAGGTCGACCAGAACCACGTCAACTGGGTGACAGCCTACAACATGTTGACGGGTATCCGCTTCACCGTCTCGCGAACCAACGCCAAGATGGACCGAGATCTCACTGATGCCGACTTTGACGCGAAGCACAAGTTCTCGTTTGACATGTACGTGCCGGCCGGCTTTCCTTGCAACATCAAGCACCTGCTAGAGTTCATCTCCACTTCGTCTGGCAGACCTCTGTTCTTTGCTTATTCGCACAATACTGACACTTTGACAGAACTGGTAACGAGCTTACTCCTTCCGCCAAATACGACTTCAAGTTCAAGGACTATGCACCATGGGTCTTCCGCCATCTCCGCACTACCTTCAAGCTCGACCCTGCCGATTATCTCGTGTCGCTGACCAGCAAATACATCCTTTCCGAGCTCGGCTCTCCCGGCAAGAGTGGCAGCTTCTTCTATTTCTCCCGCGACTACAAGTACATCATCAAAACCATCCACCACGCCGAACATAAGTTCCTCCGCAAGATTCTCAAGGACTACTACAACCACGTGCAAGAGAACCCAAACACTCTTCTTTCCCAGTTTTACGGCCTGCATCGCGTAAAGATACCCTATGGACGCAAAATCCACTTCGTCGTCATGAACAACCTGTTTCCCCCGCATCGAGACATCCACAGCACATTCGACCTCAAGGGTTCTACCATTGGGCGAGACTTTAAGGAAGAGAACTTGGCAACCAACCCCCGCGCGACACTGAAGGACCTCAATTGGTTACGCAGAAACCAGCATCTTGAGTTAGGGCCGTCCAAGAAGAAGATGTTCATCGAGCAGATGCAAAGAGACGTCAAGTTGCTGCAGCGCTTACACATAATGGACTACTCGCTCCTCATTGGTATCCACGACCTGGAAAAGGGTAACGAGGAGAACCTGCGAGACAAGACACTCAAGGTCTTTTCACCAGGTGGAGAGGAAGCACCAGAGCCCCAACCGAATCAGCTTATGCGCACGCCTTCGAAGTTGGAGAGTGCTCGGAAAGCAAGGGAACTGAGGCAGATGGTCAAGACACAGAAACCAGTACCCATGGGTCAGACGTCTAGCAAGATGCCGAACGAGTTGGAAGATCCTAACCGGAACTTCTACTTCTATTCTGACGATGGTGGCTTCCGAGCCACTCACGAGGACGAAACCCCCGGAGAAGAGATATACTACCTCGGCATTATCGACTGTCTGACACACGTAAGTTTGCAGCGTACAGCGCGTAGGGCTCGCCAAATACTAATTATGCTCCAGTACTCTTTCATCAAACGTATGGAGCACTTTATTAAAGGCATTGCTAATACCGAGTCTCAAATATCTGCTATACCTCCCGAGCGATACGGCGATCGATTCATCAAGTTTATCAGCGGTGTCACCAAGACTAGAGAAGCGGCCGAGCGTGAGAAGATGGAAGAGGCTCCAAACGATCTCAACGAACTCTCGCTTGACGGTGTCAATGCGACTGCTGCGCAGCGATCGTCGACCGACCGTGTCCTGGAGAAGGCCGAGCATCAAGCCGACCGCTCGCGGCGACAAGGTCATGGTGAAGAAAACGTACCGAATCTACATTTGAGGGCAGTACGTAGTCCGTCGGCGGAAAGAGGAGAGATTGGGACCACTCTGCCTGTGGTGGAAGAGGCCGGTGAATCTTCAAGTGTTGGCGGGCACAGCAACCGGAGTGCCTCAGATCGCCATGCTGCCAATACGAGTAGCGAGAAGTCATCATTACCACCACCCACAGGAGCGCCCTACCTCGGCCCTCCACGACTTGAAGCCAGAGCCAGGTCTACATCCAGGGAAAGGGATCATGCACAGGGAAGGCCGCCGCCTACACCGCCGAAGGACTCTGGCACCGCGAGTAGCGATGGGCGCCCGCCTACACCGGCAAAGGACGCCGAATACATGCCCAACAGGCACTCTGGACCACCCACACCACCAAAGGAGGACAAGAGGGGAGGTATACCCAGAGCCTCTTTGGACAAAGATCTACCGCGCACGCCATTAGAGACCACTATCAGGGTCGGCTAAACTGGTTAACGAATCTGTACCGAACTCGTCATTTCACCATAACTTCTCATGCAACGCCTTTTGCATACCGTCTGGCAATCCACCGGACCTTTCCTTTGTCGCTCCCTTGCGTCGCGAATGCATGATACCATGAGCCGCCGCCCGTTACTATAGGGCGTCGAGTCGCTCCTGCTTTTCCTTTGTCACATTTTTTCTCTTTTTCTTTTCTCTTTCCTTTCTGGGAGATATGTAGCTCTTCTCCCTTATTGTTGGATCACGGAATGGAACGGATGGCCTGCGGTGCAATTGTTGTCCTTTGCCTCTGTCTTTGCCGAGCTTGAGGTGCTAGTGCGTGGAGTCGGTTGCCGCTGCTGCGTGTCTTTGTAGGATAGTTCTTAGTCGGGTGGATGGAGGAGGAAGACGCAGCAATAATAGTTGTTGGTGGATTTTGGTTGCGAGTTGCCGGTGATACCAAGAAGAGACGGCGTGGGAAAGGGAAGGAGAAGCGGGTATGCTGACAGAAAGGAGCGTTTGGTGGCATATCTGGTAGATAGACGAAAGAAGTTATAAATGCATATAATTAAGTAACCTTGTCTCCATTGATCTTGATGGTATGTAACTAAAATGGCTTATAGATGGCGACACAAGATGGATGTCAATGTGTAGTATACTGGATACAATATCAAAGTCAGTGCAAAATCTCATGAAATCCATAGAGTTTTTCCCGTGTACAAGG